AATAAGTAAACAAGAGACGGTGAACAGGAAGAAAGGCAAGAAAGAGGCAAGAGAGGGAGGCAGGACGGAAGGAAGAATACGAACATGAATATGCACAAAATAACAAGAAATGGAAAAAAGAAAAACTAAAAGGAAACCAGGAATAACGACAAAGGAGCAAGTAAGACATCAGCGAAGAGCAATGAAAGCATAGATATAGAAATACAAGAAAAACAAGTAAGAGAAAGAAGAAAGGAACAGAAGAAAAGAACGAAAGCACAAGAAGGAAGGAGATAGATAAGCAAACAACAAAGATGAGAAAAAAGAGAGGAGACGAAATAGATAAACACTAGGAAATAGAAACCAGGAAAGAAGAAAAGAAAAAAGACCAAAAATAAAGAACCAGCAAAGAGGAGAAAGAAGAGAAGTAATGGAAGAAAAGAAAAGATGAAAATAAAAAAAAGAAAGAATAAAAAGCAGGAAAGATACAGAAAGAAGATGGAAAGAACGAGAAAAAAAAAAGCTACAAGAGACGGGACAAGTAAGATTCAAAAGAAGGACAAGTAAGATACAGAGAGAAAAGAAAAAACGACAAGACGCACGAAAAGATGAACAGAGAGACAAGAAAACAGCAAGGAAGATGAAGACAAGACGAAGAATAGAAGAAAAAAATGAAGAAAGGAAAAGAACGAGAAGAAGAAAGGAGAGAAAAAAAAGAGAAGACAGAGAGAAGGAAAGAAGAAAGAGCTGAGAGATGAAATAATGAGGAAAAGAAAGCGAAAGAAGAAAACAAGAAAAGAAAGAAACAAGTACAAAAGGCAACAAAAAACGGAAACAAACAGAGCAAGCAGCGAAAACAATATAGCAACGAAAAAGAAATAAAGAACCAAAGTAAGTATAGAAAAGAGAAGAGGTAGAAAGTATAGTAGGAGAAAAAATAAAGAGGAACGGAAAACGCGAAAGAAAAAAGCAGTAGAAGAATAAAGTATAAGAAAGAAAAGAAGAAGACGAAAACGAGAGGAATAAAGATAGTAGACATGAGCAAAACGAAGAGAAAAGAATCAATAAGTAGCAAAGATACAAAGGAAGGAAAAAGACGAGAAAGAAAAGAAGAGAAGGCAAAATACAAGGAAAAGATGAACAGAGAAAGCACAAAGGCAAAATTATGACAAAACAGAGATAATAGAAGAGA